AGTTTGGTTCTTAGAATGATAAAAATGCATCTGTTTATTTCTACCACAAAAACAACTTTGGTCAATAACAGGTCCTGTTTCTCTTTGCAGAAAATTTGTGGACTCTGTGGAATAAGCAAGCAAAGTGAGGCAATTTGCACTTGCTAAGTAACATACAAGTGTTGTAACTCTAATTCTATATATATATCTCTCTAAATACTATCATTTGTTCCAAACATTTTGCTCATCCCTAAATTCATCATATCTAAACTTCTGTTTCCTAGACAAACAGGATGTCTACTTAGAAAGCAATTCAGCAAGAAACAGCAGTGATATGGAGCATGCATATAGATACATATCTACGTATATATACACACATATACACAAAGCAGCACTTACACTAAGTGCCAATTTACACACATGAAGGGAAGCGAGCAGTCAGGCAGATGGGGCCAGATCTGCAGCCCCTGTGTGCTGATTGCTTATCTGCTGACTTGGAACAGGGAAACTTCACAAAAGCAAACTTGAGATTAGCAATAAATCTAACACCAAGGAATGCTGCTGTAGAAAGGCACGTGGCACGATGGCTTTGTATTCAGAGTAGAATCATTTTTAATACAACTAATTACTTCAGTCTAGTCAGCCCTGGTTAAGTCTCCACTGGAGTTAATTAGCAAATGATTGTAAAATGCTTTGAACGTGCAAATGTTAAGTACTTTCATTATTAATATTATTCTTGCAACTGCTGCAAGAGCAGGCAAGTCCAGGGTCCTTGGGATACTGCAATGTTGTAAAAGGAAAAAACAAGGCCAGTACTTTTGTCTGGCTAGTTTAAACACAACGCATTTCCGTGCTGTACTAACCAAGTATCTGCCTCAAAAATACAGAAAAGCTCAGGCCCTATTTTGTCAACCAAGGAAATAACTTCTGTGATCCAACACAAACTAAAGGGCCATGTCCATCTCACATCATCTAATACCAGCACATAAAGCCTGAACATTTACAGAAAAAGGGGAATGAAAACTGCAAGATGGAAATAAAGAGGAGCAGGAGAAATCAGCTTGCTGTATTTTGAACTTCTATAACAGAATTAAAGTCTCGTGCCCCACCAGCACTGTCATGCAGAGTATTGAATCCCTGCTTGGTAACACAGCTTTAGGCAAACACCCGAAAAAGATAAGAAAGCAATGATTGAAGGCACAGGGTAGAGGGAAGGAAATGAGACACTGAATTAAGAAAGGTAAAAAGGACTGGGTCATGTTTAGTCCTGCAAAACAAAGACTTAACTGCATGCAACTGTATAAAAGAGGTTATAAGAGAGCAACTGATCATTCTCCCTAGTCAAAGATGGAACAAAAAAAACTGAAATGAAGCCATAAAAAGGAAAATGAAGGACTGAGAACCTTTATAACTCAAAGAGTGGAACAAGCAGCCCAAAGGCTGTAGAATACTCATCACTGAGGGTATCCAGGCTTATGTAAACACCCATCTGTTAAAGAATATTTTGTTATAATCGCTCCTGCTATTATGCAAGGAGGTGGAATGAGAGTCCCACCAAAGTCTGGAGATTGGATACCTACAATTAATTTCCTTCATGTTTTTGAAACATTTATTCAGAACAACAAACATCTGGTTCTTAATCCCCCAACTAACACTGTTTCCAGCCCTAAGGAATTAATCATAGAATTCATGGAAAACAGTTTATTTGCTAGCAATGGAGTAAAACAAATTGCCTATAAACTTCTACATTGCTAATGGAGCAGTTTAATTGCCTTTTTTTTTTCTGACATTTTAATTAAAAAAAAAAAAACCCAACCAGAAAGTCATCCCTGGGCACAGACCTTTGCAGCAGCGTATCAGCAGAGAATTACACAGCACTATAGACTCGAGCTCTCATTCGTGGTACTGACCTCCTTTGAAGCGCACTCTGAGATCTAACGATGAAAAGTACTATAAAAAGTGCTAGATATTATCATTAGTATTCAGGAGGACAGAATTCTGTGGCTTGGTTGAATTCAAAGGGACTTGCTGGTACTTATGAAAGCCGATACATTTTACAGAAGAAAATAGCTCCAACGGCAATGTTAATGTAGGCTGGCTAACCAGGGTGGCGGCAGGCCATGCCTTTTGCCAGCGTCTCCCAGCAGGTTGTGCTGCAGGCTTACTTAGTATCATCGAACCAACCTAATGCCTGCTCGCTTTCTGTTTTTACCATTTCCACAATGCAGTATTTTAATCTATTTCCAGATACAAAAATAAGGTAGTGTCTACACCACCATCCTGATAAAGAAAATCTAACATTACTGCTTGCGTTCTCAGAACCCTATGCATTCTGGCACTCCTATCGCCACTCTTGGTGCTAAGGAGCTTTCCAGGCTACGGCTGGCCACCAGAAGATGCTTAATTCCACAAAACACCTCTGTTACCACCTCTTACACCCTGCAGCTCAGTGGATTTACACCCTGCTGCTTTCAGCTGCTGTGGAGAAATTAAATGGAATGGAAAGTCAATCACCAAATGTTCTAGTACTCTGGTTTTAAAGATGTCCCTGCTTGTAGGAGTGGAACGTGCTGTTCATCAGTTTATTCGCCTGGCTTTGCCACTAGATGAATTTTAGTAAACATCTTTTATTCTCACAAAACAGATTTTCAATGAGTAACCAATACAAACAACATGCATTATGATTCTATCCAGTAATACAGACTCTCAATAATAGCTCTGAATGTCTCTGCTAGCTTTGGGCTGTCTAATTGACCACTATAATCTACTTCAAGGTTAGCATGATTTGGACAGCTCTTGAAAACATATTTTTGTTACTAGAGCCTCTGCACACATTAGCTGTGTCTGATCATCTTTTTCTACCTACTGATTTTGCCTTTTGTTCTGTGTGAATAGTCCTAAGACATAATTAGTAACGTGAGGAACTGAGTCATTTCCCCGTGTGGTCCTTAAAATCTCTTTAGATAATATTTCTTTATCAGCAGATTCCAAGTTGATGGTTGCTTTACCTTCACATCTTTCTACAAGCAAGCTTTCTGCGTTTCTTATTTGATGTCTAACCTTTATTAAATTTGCAGCTGCTCTAACATCTTTATATATTTGTTAGTGCTACTAGATACCATGGAATGATGTCCTAAGGGGGAAAACACACCCCTCTGTATTTAGTTTTAGAAGAAATAATTCTGAAAGCCTTGTTAAAAATTGCGTTGTAGTGTTTTGGGGTTGAGTTTATGGTTTTGTTTTGTTTTTACCATGCCATTCCAGACTATTGTTTGTCTATTGATTTCTCCATGGTTCCAGCGTACTTCAGATACAATACACCTTCATATGGAGGCCAGGAAGATAGGTTTACCTTAACATTTAGAGTTGACAAAGTATTGAACTCATCCAGTCCAAGCCATGTAATCCCTCCCATTTATTCCTTGCTTTCCAAATTGCATCAAAACTCTGTATGTTCCTATTCCTTCAGATCGCTCTGGGATCAGTTAATTCAAAGATCTGTCATTTCTCTCTAGCTAGGTCTTTACCAGGAACAATATGACACAACAGGGTAGAAGCTGAGGAACCATCGAGATAAAATTGCTATCATTAAAAAAGCAAAAACATCCAGAACGATGAAATACATTCTTACAGACAAGACCAGAAAGCTGCAACTTTCACTATTAACTTCTTTGGGGATACCACAGCCACATCAAGTGGTACTAGGTGTTACACACTTTGAAAGTGTGTAACAAAAATTCCAAACAATTTCCAATAATAAAATAATAAAAACCCACAACTTAATCAACCTTCGGTGGTGAAGAAACCGCAGCTAGGCTGGTATCTTGCATGCTTGTTTTCTACTGACAACAAGCATGCAGGGATGAAGACTGGGCTGTCTATCAATAGCTACGGCAGGGAGCAATTGTTGTATCAGCTCTACATGGTATCTTTAACAGGCAGCTAGCGATTACAAGTCTCTTACCCCAATAATTACAGGCATAAGAACACCTCTTGAACAACATTGTATTCCAGTTCTGCCATGTAGCTCATGCTTCTCAGAGTGCAATGCACTAACCAGAACAAATACTTCTTCCTTAGGACCGAAATCAAAGTCTTAACTGGCTGGTTGGGTCTGTTTGCCATTGTGTCCATTAAAGGGGCTTGCACTGCTATTTTAGGTGGCAAGGAACACAGACAAAGTCTGATTTTTAGAAAATTTTAGTGTGCTTTCTTAAAACAATTTCTTTTTCAATGTGAACAAAGCATTCCACAGCACTTTTATTAAGGCTAGAGAACTTATTCCCATATACACCCATATACAACATAATGGTAACTTCCAATGAGAAACAAAACTATTGGAAATTACCATCACTGTGAGCTCTTCAGAGAATATTCCAAGTATCATGTGGAAGACTATGCTATTACTGGATGTTCTCAATGTATGTTAGCAAATTAGATATTCTGGTAACTCTCTTCTGTTGGAAATGTTTTTCTTGCATATGAAAATTTCACTGTCTGAAATCCCAGCCTAATCAAGCACTAGCTACTACAGTTAATTCTTTAGGAAGTTTCTTGTCTGTCTCAGAATTGGAATTTAAAGCAGTCAGTTAAGAGCTAAACGGTAACTGGAAGGTCCGATATTCCCAGACATTACAGAACTTTACTTTTTCTGGCCTCTCAAACATGCATCTCCCCAGATAAGACAGCTCTCTGATCTTGAAACATGCAAAAAGCTGGCCAAACCTTAGAATACTATATCGGAAATATTTCCTCTCTGTTAAATGCTGGAATAAAATAGGAAGAAGGAATGTAAAACAATTCAGCAAGGATATCAAATGGCAAATGTTGTAAAAAGCCATTTCATGTTTATGAATTCTGTTGTCAGATTATTTTGAACACAAAAGTCATCTCTTTATCACTGAATAAAATCCTGCCCCATTGTTGGGGGTACCCAGACCCAGTACACTCCCATATAGGGCTAACAGCTGATTCTCTCAAAGAATAGTATCTCCCTGCTGTTGCTGAGGCTTCTTACTTACCAGTTGGGACAGCAGGATCCATTGTTGGCTTTTCCCAGGTATTGGTCTGCTCCCAGGTAAATCCATTGGTTCCCAAGGCCACACTATAACCACAATTACTGTAGTGCTCGTCAAATGAACAACCACCTAAAAACAACAAAAATGAATACATTCCTGTATTAATTATTTAGATCTCTTTATGGTAGGTCATTCACTTAAATATTTTGTACCCAAGTTTACGCAGGAAAAAAAAAAGGAAACATAAAATTAGTTTCCTGCATATTAGATTTCAGGCAGCAGAGAAGGTATCCAGAAAATATTTTTGTACTTTCCACACTTTGTATTCATTGGAAGCCTTTGTTTTCTTCCCTCCATGCTACTGTTTCTGAGATCAGTTCCCTTTATTTCAACCTATCGTCTTTACATTTTCAAGGACACTTGGACATGATGCGCACGTGCAGGAATATTTGCATTTGGGTCCCAGTAACTGATACTTAATTACATAAAGCTCCAAGTCAGATATTAAAAAAAAAAAAAAAGAGGAAGAAGGAAGACAAATGGCAAACAAGCATAGCATCGCTGTTCCTACAGTGAATCCTCACTTCTTTTTGCTTTTAAGCCTTGAATTACACAAGGTTCGGTTATACCTATGGAAAGTGCAACCTTCCCTTTAGCCAGCTCTTATGCGTAACAACACGAAGCTCTGTGTGGCACACGACCATGCCTCAAGGTCTTTCGAGTCAATACTTTTGAGTGCAACCAACCCTTTAGTTTCCTGACAACAAGAGAATAACAAGGAGTGGATGGCAACTAGCATTCGCACCTTCCAGACTGTTGACTAAGTGATCTTTCCTACTGCAATTCCTGAAACACTTGGAAGTAGTTAACTGTCATAAATAACCTGGCAGCTGCCTGAACACTTGTGAATCAAGGGAAACCCATGAACAGTAGAATGAAATTTTGTTTGCCAACGCAGATTTTCGAAACTTGTGTCACACAGACAAACCAAGCTAGTTTGTTCCCTGGTAGGATGTTCCTACGCTGGTGTCCCTTACATTACCTCAAGCACATTCCTCTTCATGTCCACCCAGCCTAGTCTGCCAAACATATTTCAGTACTGGATCCACTAAATCAGGCAGCCTGGGTCCTTCAGTTTAGACCTTAACCACATCAACAGCGTCTCTGTACTGCTTTGGTTTTCTCTCTTAGGGAAGCAAGGATAACTTTTCTCTGCAGACACTAGTTCTCCAAAGTCAACTGGACACATCTAACACCTCAGAACTGCAAGGACTGAGCAACGCTCAAGGCAACGCTGACTTGCTCTGCCAGCCAAAGTGCCAATTGCTCTTGATACTAATCAGCTACACGCACAGAGATGGTCCTGACTCTTTACTCCTTCCCACAGGCTGCATTTCCTAAACACACAATAAATAGCTGGTACGTGAGTGATCTGCGGCTCCTTTGCAATAAGGATTATCCAACACTGGGAACATCGAGGCCTTCTTTAGTTTTCACCTGTATTTTCTATTCTCTAGCTCCCAAGAAAGCCCAAACTGGTCTCAGTTCCTATGAGTTCCTCCTCATAAATGACAAACACAAATATATACCATAACATTAACATTTATTAAATGTTAATTTAATAAATTATTCTGTTAAAGGACTTTACGTGCACTCCAACTGCAACTGGTTTTCTAATTGTTCTACAAAACTTCACATATTATTTCTACTTAAGTATATAGTAGCAGGATTTGTTGAGTAGAGTACCTGACACCCCAAAATACTCTGTTGCTAAAGAAAAGTTTAAAGATCAAGCTTATCCTAAAAAAATAACAATTTGAATTTGATATATTGTATATTTTCATCATAAAAAAATCTGCTATAGTCAGATCTATATGACCCTTGCAAGCTTCCCTGTCTGTTTCAGTAGAGTCTCTGCAAATATTTCTGGTGTCATTATTTTACAATATTTTAATAATTCTTGCTTTAAATTTACTGTAGTTGTGAAGCTTTCCCAGCTGCCAAAATGAGCAGGATTACACTCAAGCTGTTTCCCTAATTTTTTAAATTTAATTTAGGTGAAAAAGTTCAAATTTAAAATATTAAACATGCTTATTAAAACATCTAAGGGAAAATGAAGGTGTTCTGGATTGTGTGGGAGTATGCAATGCAACTGCAAGTCACCTTTTTCACAGCGAGTGGGTATGAGAGCCGATATCAAATACTGTGCCCTCAGTCTCCAAGCGGGGCATTCTAAATTTGACAGATTCACTTTAATAGCACAATTTCAGACATACTCCGTTTCCACACCACCTCTGTTCAGCATACTGCAGCACACAATAACGGTGCTGTCTCTGAGCTATTACTTTGAAGGGATTGTAAACAAATTCTCTGATCGAGCCAGACAATTGTACCAGGCCTCTTGTACACAGAGAAAATTGCACAGGTACTGCTACAAAGTCCCACAAGCCAAACAAGCAATAGTAACAAAATACAGGGTAGCAGTCTTCATTTAACAGGGAATGCAATTGTCGGTATCTTGGTATAATCAGCTAAACAGGTTATTTTATACATGCTGAGGTACGTAAAGTTGGAGGAGGAGCTGAAAAGGGGATATGGTGAGAACTTCCAGAAATTTATTGGGAATTTCCACTGATAAGAGAGAACACCTGAGGAAGCTTTAAAGTGCCTCGTCTGAAAGTCAAAGCTAACCTTGGATAAGAAAGGAAAGGATAAACCATGGAGAGCCTTAAAAGTAGCAGCAAGACATCTACATTTTAAGGAAAGAAAAGGTTAGTGGAGAAACCTCCAAATGCAGAGTGACAGGGCAATAAGCCGGAAGGATTAATTTACTAGAAGCAACAGAATTGGAATTTAGAGAGGTGAATTTGCAGGAAAGGAGGACAAGGAGAAAAAAAACTGGAGTCAATTTTAAGGGCTCACACGAGCAGGCTGGCTGCATGAATCCCTGGTGCCAAGAGCAGGGAAGTCTCCATCCACTTCTTGCTATAGCGTGTCAAAAGACAGCAGAATTGAAAGTGAAGTAAAGACTCAGCTGGGACGCAGAGCCATATTAACTTGTGAGCTAAAAAGTCAGCAACTCCTCTGTTTGCACTACTACAGCGTACGTTGTATTATGGAACAGGAAAGAAACTTCAGAAAGCGGAAGGGAAGAATCACAACATCCAGAATATCACCGATTTTGGGGTTACTCTAGTAGTCACAGTGGCTTGTGTTCATATCTGCCAAACAAGTATATCGTAAGCGGTCTTAGTCCTATCTTTTTTGCAGAACATGGCAGACACGACATTACAGCTTCTGTTACAGGCAGCCACGTTCAGAAAAGCAGCTGTGAAATTTCCACCCAACTTCACCTCAGGAATTCAAGACCCAACGTGCTCTCTCCTCCTTCACTGACCTTGGTCTCTGCAGGACAGCTTCTCACACAATTCCTCTCCCCGCTTCCTAGCGTTTTGCCCTTTCTTAAACACGTTTTCCCAGAGATGCCACCAGCATCGCTGAGGAGCTCCGCTGCCTCCCGCGCTGGGGCCTCGGAGGAGCGGCCATGTCCTGCACCGGGCAGCCCCAGCCTCTCCTCACAGAGGCCACCCCTCCAGTCCCCTCTGCTGCCGGGCACACGGACACGGAGCACAAACACGAACATCTGCTTCTAGCTGCAAACCCAGCCTCGGGGTCGAGTCGGGCTGTATTTCCCCTACCCTCCCCGGAGGAGGAGCCAGGCAGGCTGAGGGACACTCCGCAGCGCCATTGCCACATCGCCACAGTGGGATCCACCTCAGCGACAGCTTTGCCACCACCCCGGACAAACCGAGCGGGCTCCATCCATCTTTCGGGTCCGCAGCCTTGCTGAGGCTAGCGTGCCAGAGCAGGGAACCCCGGGAACTCGCCGCAATAAGGGGT